TTTTGTTTAACACTTATACATTTGTGTGTTCATAGGCTGTTCTGCTGTATCTGTGTCTTAATTGCACTCTGCAGAGGATATTGTACCCCGCTTTAGCTGGTCATTTTGTATTACACTGTGATGTTTGGCTTTGATACCTGTGTGGAGGTTTGATGCGCTTTACGATTAACTGATTATATAAGATGTGCTGGCATAAAGCAAGTAGGCCTGCATGCTTGCAGCTATAAATGTTTCTTTGTGTCAGTAGTCACAGTCAGTCTTCTCTTTGTGTCTCTGCCTGCAAATGCAAAACAGCATTTCTTTTTTTAATTCACAAAAGCCTGAATGTTACATTGACATCATCTGAAGTTGTAACTAATTGTCAAAATAACTGTAATTGTAATACTAAACACCCCTCTGCAGCCCACATACCCTTGAGAATTGAGTGTACTATTAAACTGTTAAATAAATACTCCCACATGCAGTTGAGATTCTAGTTTAAAATGTTTTTAAAATGTATGTTCTTCCTCATCTCACAGCGGAAGAGTGCAAGTGCAAGCTGGGAAACCTCCTGCGTTATCCCACTGTAGACCACAAACACACTCACGTGTGCGATGCTGTACCGCCCCCTTGAGGCCAACATCACTACACTAGCTTTAACATCACATCTGCAGTGTGTGGTTTCATGAATCAAACAAGCATACGTTTTTTAAAGTGGAAAGTTACACATAATTTCTGCTGTAGTGGAACAAACTATGATAAATGTGTTAAATAAAAGTTGGATGCTCTATTGGAGAGCTCTCAGGTGATAAAAAAGGCAGAGGACGCCCCCTGCAGGTGTCTACAAAGAAGTGAAACATGTCTTTGCACCATCACAGTGGACAGTGTGCTCCACATTGTGCTCCTTCTCTAAATAAAAGCCTTGGCTGCTTCATGCTCTGCTGGTGGGCAACACAGACATAACCAAGGACACATGTTACACACAGCAGTGTATAACATGTTGCCGCTCACAGGGGACTAATTACATATAAATGTACCCTTCTCCCATACCCGATAGGCCATCTATCACATGATGTAGCCCTTTATTTCCTGCTGATAACCTGACCCTAATTGTCATGCTGTGGGTGCATACACTGTAATTTTCTTCAAAGAGCATGCTGTGGACACCTGCATGTGCTTAGTGTCTCTGTCAGGGGGCTGGTTGAGACTCGGGTCGGCTCTTTTTGTTCTAATTGCTCGGATCAGAAAAGAGGAGCTGCATACAGAGGTCTTAATAACAAACTTGGGGATGCACCAGATAATTTTCCAGGCTAATGTTCACTGTGAAGGGACCTGCAGGAGCGACACTAGCTCTGCTGGGTGAGGCAAGCAACGGATATCTTCCATAATAAGCTTTATTGATTAGATAATGTATGAGCATCATGATATTGTCATATTATTATTGTTAGTATTTTAGGTTTGGTTGTTGGAGACACAGTGACTACAATGATGTAATAAAGGAGGTCAAAATATGGGTTTTGGGAAACTTGGAAACGTAAGTGCACCATAAAACATCAAGGACCAGGATGGAGTAAGTGCTGGTGCTGACATTTACATAAATGTGTGCGATTAGATGTGTCAGCAACACTATGGTTCCAATTCCAGGCGTGAAATTTCAATCTCTTTTGAAAGGTGAAAGCAGAGAAGAAGAAAATCAGTGTGATTGGAGCTGTCTGATATCAGCTTGCTGCAGAAACCAGGTCAACCTGCTGAACAGCAACAGCAGGTGATGTTGAGACTAAAACAAATATGGCAGTGAATTTACTGTCACTTTTGAAGTCAGCTGAATTTTACTCATGTTGCCCGAATCACAAGGGCTTTACAATCTATACATCTTCAGACTGTCGACAGGAAGAAATCTCATATAGGAGTATAAACCCTTTTGACATTACACGACTGTTCTCACAGGCTGTGCAGTATATGACGAGTAAACTGCACATCATGTGTAAGATTGGAGGAATGCCCCTTTAAATCAGTGGTCATGAACACAGTTTTTATTCAATTAAAATACCTGCTTCACTTGTGTTAGGTGGAACCTGCTGATTTTTAAAAGAAGGAATTTCACCCTTGACGCCAGGCATTGTTATGGATATGTTACATTTGTACATGTCATATGTATGGCGTAGCAAAGATGACATGTAGTCTACAGAAGCAAAGTTTCTCGTTAGTAGGATGAGGGGATGGTGGATGTTGTGACACTTGCAGCAGACCACTGATCCCAACCAACAAAAGCGGGTATTTTTTAAGGAGATGCCCAGACTTGTCCAGTTGGGTTTGTAGCCACACAAGCGTATATTTTTTTAGCAACAGATAGGGACATTTCCAGCCATGTTTGTAGCAACAAAAGCAGGTATTTTTTAATGTGAGGTTGGTACATTTCCAGCCATGTTTGTAGTGAACAAACTAGGTATTTTAAGCCAAACAAAATGTCTTTTATGAAACCTAACCAAGTTTTTTGGGGGCCTTAACCTAACCAAACAATAACCCAAGCGTTGCGCAACATAAAACTGTTAACTGAAAACTGAAACATAAAGAAAGGTAAGGTTCAACATACCTATGATTCGTACCAATGTAACATATCTGTGGTTTGGCGAAACATACGATGCCAAATTATATTTTGCTGTTTGGGTTGGGAATTTACCTAAAATAAAACAATGATTTGTGAAAGTGGCTACCATTACTCATCCAAAATTTAAATCATCAACATATTTTTTTGCTGATGAGATAATTCATCCATGTAAGCAAACTCTGTCAACGACAGATATCGAACTCCACAGACTGTGCGGATTAGTTAGTATCATGTTAACTGTCTTAGAGAGGATGAAACAGACACCCTGAGGGATTATCCCTTTAGCCTTTGCAGTTGAGATAATCCTGATACACACAGCGTCAAACATGCTTTAATGTCTAAGCCGGTATCTCCATAAAAGTCAGCACTCATTACCGATTCCCTGTATTGGTTTCCCACATTTCTTTCTCAGTATTTCCTCACTCCTCTGCTCTGTTCCCTTTTCCATGGAAATGAAGAGGCTGATATAAGAGAAACCATGGCAACAACCGCTCCACAATGGATACACTCACTTTGATATCAGTTACTGGAAACCAGAGCAACACTTCAGACACACTTGACGTTAAACAACAAACTAAATTTAATGTCTGACATGAACTTATAGACTTATTATATTCTGCAGCACAAAACACACACGTTACAATCACTGTACACAGTTTGAACTGTACGTTAAAAACATCATATTTCTTTGTGAAAGTGTAATTTGAGTGACAATTATAGTGCAGAGGACTGTGACTATAAAGGTATAAGAGCAATATGAGCACTTCAACATGTTTCACATTCAAATTATGTGTCGTAGTTACTTTAGTATGCAACATATTCTTTAAGAAGATAATTCTTTAGCTCAAACACACATATAATAAAACGTGAATAAACATGTATTTACTCGCAAATACACACAAATGATTAAAAAAATAATTAAAGTAGCAAAGATCCACTGAAACAGTATTCATTACCATTTGAAATTCTTTTTAAAAAGACAGGAAAAAAAACATTGGAGTGTCACATTGAAATCCACCAGTAATGACAAAGGGAATAAATGATACAATCAAACATTAAATATTTATAGAGAGAACTCACACTGGTTAGATATATTTCTGAGCTGACACTAGTACTGCATGTTTCTCATCAATCATAGTATAGGGCAAAATGTGGAGTATAATGTGTAACAAAAAAAAACAAAACCTTTTGACAAAAACAGCAAAAAAGGTGAAAATATAACATATGACTGATAAATCAAGTGAAATTAGTTTCAGCACCATGTAAGTCCTAACACCATGCTAAAACAACTAGATCACTGGGCTTTTATTACTTGACATTTTATTTTATGGGTTTGTGGAGATGAAGAGTTAAAAAGAAAAAATATCTTGTCAAAAACACTGAGAGCAATCCAGTAGTGGTCACGATAAATAAGACATTCAAACAGGGAAATATTTATGAGCACAAAATCTAAAATCATCACTATCTTCCATGTACCTAATAGAACTAAGGCACATCACCACGGGTCAATTTACCTGCCTATACCTGCAGAACAGGTGCTACCACAAGCCTCTGAATACTGTAAATCCTTTACTTAACATAGGAACATAAGATAATTATGAATGTTTTGTATTACACCACACTTACAGCAAATATAATCTCTATTATTCACCAATTCAGTGGTTGGAGAGTGGCTGAAAACACTCTTTGTCACTGAACTCAGCTGAAACACGTCCAGTCTCTGGGTCACCGTTTGGTGGTTTGTGGTCAACTGGCCAGAAGCACGAAAGGATCGACCCTGTGTTACTACATAAAATGTCCACGTTACAATTTAGCCCGCGTTATGTTGTGCCCCGCGCTCCCCTATGTTATACGCTTTCTAAGACTGAAGTTGGCAGTTATGTTATAGGCTCTAGATGACCATATATATTACATCTTCTTCTTCGTCTTCTTATTATTATTTATTAATATTATTATTATAATTATCATTATTATTAGTAGTATTATTAAATTAAATGCCCAGTACCTTTCACTAGTCCGGTGTGGCTACACATTTTGACAAATAAAGCACTGTCTCAATTAGAGGCCTGGTCTGGTTGCCTGGCACTTCATTTTTTTTTATAGAAGTTCTTCAGACGTATAAAACTGGGTTGTTGGCTACCTCAAATTATGTGTCCATTCCTCGATTACCCTGCAAGTTATTCATATTCCTTGAGTGCCGTAACTCTCTGATGAGCTGTCTGTTGGAGCTAGATGAAATGAATGATTTGTAATTGATATATTATCTGGAGCCTAATTTTTACACAAGTAATATTCATACTGGTTTGAATGAAATGTCTTTGCTGAGCAACAGTTTTGTGTGAAAGGAATTAAAGGCCTGTCCCAAATATAGGCCTGTTGAGTTCAGTGATTTAAGCAGATAATAGCCTGGGCTATTAAATGAAGTTTAATGGTAAAAAAAAAAAACAACCAACCAACCAAACAAACAAACAAATGCCTTAAGTAATGACTTCACATTTCATCATTTCTTCATCATCATTTTCCACAACGTGTGTCATTGGGGAAATGCTCAACTCCAAGTACATCATTAAAAAATTATAATAAAAAATCATATCACATTATGAACACCATACTTGCCAAAAAGATATCATCAGTGTTTTCATTTTATCTTAAAGGAGCCTCAGGGTTGGAGCTGTGCTTCTGTGATAGCACCATCCCAAAATCAGCACTAGCCGCCATATATGGGCAAAGCAGAGCGGTAGCACTTAGCTAGCCAGCGGGGTGCACACACAGGACTCACATGCACTAACATGCACACACAGCTGGTCCAGCTACCACAACAAAGAACTGAGAAGCTCAGATTACAACACACACAGAGCGAGTGTGACTTTCAGCATGTCATTACTCCACTATATCAGTAAACAGTGGTTTGCTGTATAAATGCTCTGAGTATCGCTTACAGCTCCTTTAAGGTAATAATGATGTTCACATCTCCTTCACGATGTACAGCATTACACTAACAGCAGCTTCACATCTCATTGACAAATATCATCGGCCCTTGAGAAACAACTTTATTCTCATAAATCACCGGCTTGCCGAGATATGCGTGTGGTAAGCTCAAGCTTACTTGTGACTGGTTGATGCTGCTCTGTCTGCTGACCTGCTGATTGAAACTGTTTTGTCTGGAGGGCTGTGGACCAAAACTCTCCTCCGGCTGCTCGAAGCTGCTCTCGCTGTAGAGCCGCTGCCGCATTCCACTGGCACGTTTCCCAGAAGCACTCCTGGTTGGATATCTCTGACCGGTCTTATACCAGCCTGTCTCTTTAAAGACAAACCAAATATTCCCTACCCAGAGGATGACATTTACAAAACCAAAGACCTGAGGGAAGGACAGAGAGCAGGAGTGAAAGCCTTATTTTATCCGCTTTCATGTTTCAGTGTTTCATTTGTTGACTGAATACTTACTGCAGATGTATTAAGTCGTGACCAGAGAGGCTCCTGGGTGGCCGCACATTTGTTCTCCTGAGCTCTGCAGGCTGAGATGAGCAGAAGCACATGTGTTGGGTTTGTGGCCGCCTTGATATCAGAGAGCGCTTTGGCCCAACAGCAACTGCTGACCAGCCACATGAAGGAGAAGATGACTGTGACAACAAAATCCTGCTCAGGACAAAGAGTAGAAAGGAAGCACAATAAATTTAATATGTTTGATGTCATAAAAACACAAATATTATCACACTATTATTGCATCTAATTCAGGTGTGGACACAGAGGAGTGTTTATCGAAGGTATGAACTCACTGACCACAAGCGGGCCTCTATTGTTCTTCAGGTACTTGTTCTGGTAGAAGACATAGACGATGGTGGCCAGCAGCGAGTACAGGAAAGCAAAAACACCCACAGTCAGGAAAAACTGAGCAGCTGAGGAAAAGTCACCATCCAGGAAAAGAATCTCCTCCCTCTTTGACTCACACGCAGGAGCTTTGAAATGCACCTCCTGTAATCTACAAGACAGAAAGAGGAGGATTACAGCAAATGAAGAAATACAGGTTGTTATTAAAATCACCTTACTTTAAATACCCATTGTTCCCTGGCACTCTGAGAGCATTTCATTAACAAACCTGTGGTTAAAAAGGGAGGTTTAAGCTCAAAAAACATCGACACAGCTAAGAAACCTTTATCTGGTGCTGCATACCAACCCAGCTGCTGGGATTAATGTTGCCATTGTACGTTTCTGCAAACCACAGTTATGTTAAACTTCTTTGAACTGACCCTTCGCTAAGTCCCACCCCTGGACGCAGACTGGCCAATCATAACGTAGTATCAGGCCAGCTCAGACCAGGGTCTGACAATACTCGTTACCTGGAGAGGTTGGAAAAAGATATACGTTTCTTCCCTGTTCCAAAACCCCAAACCAAACCCTGAAAAGTGTAGGGTTAGCTAGCTAGCTACTGAAGATATAACCTGCTGAATGTATACACATGCTGCTTTTGCTTTTTAATGACTATAACACTGAATAAAGACCGACCCTGCTGTACAGGAACCAGTGAAGGGAAGCAGGGAAACTTTGTGATATTGAACCAGCTGTGTGTCATCGTGTGTGCAGATGAACGTTGTTTGACTTCCCCCAGAGATCCCTGCCTGTCCAGAGGCGGAGGTCCGAGTGCTGGCAGCGGCACGGGGGTGAAGCCAAACACCGTTCATCTGCACACACTGTGATGCCACACAGCTGGTTCAATATCAGTGAAGTCTCCCTTTATATTCATTGTCTTCTGTGGCGATCATCAGTGATGTGGTGGTTCACTTTCACACTGTGATCTGTAGCCTATAGTTCGGCTTTAGCTTCTAACTATCTTTGTCTTTTTAACCTGTTGTTGCTGCTGAGTCAGTTTGACATCCTGGATATATCCTTCAAACACAGACTGTAGACCCCTCTGTCTGCTTCTCTCTGGAATCACTCTTTCATTTTTCCAAAAATATTTTAATATTTCTTCAGAGAGTGCAGTTAGTTACAGTGTGGGCTCCATGCTTACTCCAACATCTTGTCAGACCATCACAAAGGGGCGGGGCTTAGTGAAAGGTCAATTTTGCGAGTGACAAGCTGTCTGCATTACAATCTTATCCCAACTTGTCAAATGCAGTTTTTTAAATGCTTGTTATAACGGAACTATAACAAATTGAGCACAAAACCTAATGGCTTAGGGGCAGTTTGCCATTTGCATGCTTAGCAACTAATCAGTCAAAGCACAGTTCAGTTAGGTATGAAACATGACCGGTTTTACAATAAATTGCAGTGAAGTTTCCAGAGGTTAGTATCGCCATTTCAAATTTTAATGATCATTAAAGCTGTGTTTCAAATTACTGCGCTGTGAAAAACTCACTGTCTAGAATCAACCAAAGTTAGCAACAGTCTCTCAGATGCAGGGGCAGCATGTTTTGTTAGTCCCTTGTTTACTGAGTGGGCGTGCAGCTGACAAACCAGTGGTGCCAAGTCAGTGTACATGAGGACAAACGTTTGATTTGTCCGCATGTGCACTGACACAGACACATGCACATTGGATATGGTTTTCATATGTTACATACACAAGGGATTATTCTTTTAATGTTCATGCAAAGAGTTGCTCATTTTATTTGTGGTCGTTCATATAACTGTGCAGTGGTTAGCATTGTCGCCTCACAGCAAGAGGGTTCCCCATTTAAACCCAGGGTGCAAACTCCATCCTTCTGTGTGGAGTTTGCATGCCTTCCCCATGTCAGCGTGGGTGATCTCTGGGTACTCCAGCTTCCTCCCACAGTCTAAAGACATGCAGGTTAAATGGTGACTCTAAATTGTCCGTAGGTGTGAATGTGAGTGTGAATGGTTGTCTGTCTCTATGTGTCAGCCCTGTGATAGTCTGGCGACCTGTCCAGGGTGTACCTGCCTCTCGCCCAATGTCAGCTGGGATAGGCTCCAGCCCCCCCGCAATCCCTAACAGGATAAGTAGTTACAGAAAATGAATGAATGAATGAATGAATATAAAACTTGGTGAAATAATTTTAGTGTGTGTGTGTATCAGTGCTTGTCAGCACATTTTAACAATACTGTAATGTTACTGATAACAATGATAATATTTATCACCGTGACATTTATGATCACTATAATCATGATACAAATTTTCATACAGTTTTATCCCTAAGTGCTGCACAAAGTTAAAGACAGCCGCACTGACCCACTGATACTCAAAATGTAAAAAACAAGCATTCTTTTTCTGAAAGTTGGCCCCCCCAACTGCTCGGGCCGCCTGACCAAGGCAGCCCCCTCACTCTGACATCTCTCCACTTTGTGCATGTATAGGTCCTGTTTGTGCATGTGTGTGTATTTAGGACCTGTGTGTTAATGACAACGGAGTGAAAAAATTGAATTTCCCCTTGATTAATAAAGTATATAAAATAAAAAAAATAAAAATTAAACTAATGGAGACAACAGTTTCTGAAACTGGTCAAGTACTGAGAGAGACTGCTACAGCCAGCAGCTGCATAATGCTTGCAATATAACCAAATGGGGCAATTGTGCATCGTCACTGTCCATTAAAAGTGGTTATTTTTACCACAGACAGATTCAGATCGTTATTATGTGTCTGAGGTGTCTCTTTACCTTTCACTAAATCCAGGCTGTTTGTTATTGTGTCTAACTCTCAGACAAAGAGTAGTCTCATTCTGAAATCTCACAAGACATATACTCTGACTCAAATATGAGCAGACACAGAATTCAAAGGCCTCATCCACATTGTCAAAATCAGCTAAATAATTATCCATAACACTAAAAATCTTTTCAATAACACTAAACTACATTTTCTGTACTCCAACAATACACACTACTCCCTCTGTCTCCAGTTTCCGGCGTTGTCTTCCTGCAACAAGTCACATCTTGTGAGGTTTCAGAACAAGACCTAAACACAATAACAAACAGACTGGATAAAGCAAAAGGTAAAGAGACACTTCAGACACTTCACACATTCTGAGCCTGCCTGTGGCAGAAATAGCTACTTTCAATGGACATATAGTGACAGTGCACAATTGCCCCATCTGGTTACATTGCAGGCAACTCTCAATACTGGACTAATTTCTAAAACTGTTATACATCAGTCACTCAGACACAAAAAACTGGGAAAACAGGGTCCAGGTTAAAAAAAGCTGACATCACCCTTTCATGCAAAGGTTTGGCTGTGCTGCTTTAATCATTGTTATAAAATGAACGCTGCCAGACGCATTTGGAAATATTTCAGACATCAGTCATTGTTTCATTTTATCCATCAGATGCACACACACACACACACACACACACACACACACACACACACACACTGTGTAGTAGGCTACGCCCCTGTTCCCAGTTGGATAAGCTGTCCCCAGTTAGGCCAGTGTTGGCTTAAAGGTTTGTCAGTTGTGACCAGATGTTCAATACTCAGCAGGACAGATCTGGGTAAAGTGAAAAAGCAGCGCTTGCCCCTCCCACAAGGCTGTTAATTAACCCCAGCTGCACCAGTGGCGCTGCCCAGTGGCCAGTGCTCCTTCGTGCCCTGATGCTTCAGCTTCAGAATTTTTTGCCTCCCGAGGCTCCTTTTAAAATGTCTAGTTTATTATGTTAGAAATAGCAAAACATTTCAAAAGAGCTGAAAAATAATAAAGGTCTGTCGGCAGCAATTTGGGTTACTGTGCTATTTATACATGAGAGTGGGCACCACTGAAGTAACACACAGACACTAGTGTCAAGTCAGCTGAGCTGTTAATTAGACACTTGGCCATCACGGCAGACATAGAGTTTGGGGGTGGTCGACCACACGGCTGCACCACCAGACCAGAGAGTACACATTCACAGACACACTATACCATTCATCATCCAGATTACATGAATGTTATCGGTGGTCTGTTGCTCTTTGAGGTATTCCGTTTAACAGTGTGTCTTTATATTTTACTGTTGTGTTGTATTCTGACTTTTTGAATGGAGTTAATGAGCAATATCCAGCTGCAGTTTCATTGAATTAATGGGTGATTGAATTATATTTCTACTGTGCACACTGGAACTGCTGACAGTCTATTACAGCTGTTTATAAATGAGCACTTTCCTCACTCAGAATAGCAACAAGGCTAACAAACAGAGTCACTCTTCTCTCATCCTCCAAACATCTCTGTGGTGTTTTATCTAGCACAAGTCCAGGACGCCCAGAGTACACGCAGGTCTGCTGAAGTCAGAATGAAACAGGGTCAAAGAAAGACACCAGCTTCTGTTCTGCTCATCAGCTTGTCAATGATCACTCCACAGCTACACCAAGTTGCGATAAAGTGCTGTAAGATCACAAGAGCCCACCTGAGGTTAAGTCTCGATTGATAGGACTGCAGGTACAGTTTTGCCGAATGATGCACTGGAACATTTTGGAGTTAAATTGGTCCGGTTTCCTGCTCAGCTGTCCAGCTTCCTGATTTTAAATTGGGTGAGCTTTAAGAGAGAGCAGCTCCTCTCTGCTGAGCCTGACAACATGATGAACTGTGCAGCTTTTAAAGCTTCTTTTTTTTTTGTCTGGCTGATCAGTTTCCTAAAATGTGCAGAGATGATTGTCTGGTCATGTCTAGTTAGTCCAAAGCATCTTTGTAAATTAGTCTGTTAATCCACGTTTATAATTATATAATTATAATTATCTAAATATGTAAAAAGAGGAATTGTCGAGGATTAAATTAAATGTCATAAAATCAAAATTATATGACAGTTGATATTGTTCTTTAGGTATTCACAAGTTGATCGCGTGCAAAGAAAAGCACAAACAATAACTTTACCTGAATGGATAGCCAAAATCAATGTTGATGCTGAGGTTACTCTGCCTCCTGTCGGCACAGTCCACTTTAACCTGGAGATGACCATAGTATCCTCCACATGTTGCAAAAGCACAGATGGCAAAAATCTATGAAAACAAAACAAAACAAAAAAAGTCATAAAAGGATCCCCATCTGTTGATAATTCATACCTTTGATTGATCCAGTATCATGTCTGTGAGTGCAGCTCACTGCATTATGTATACACATCAATAAATTACCGGACTGATTATTAAGATTTATAATTGGGTTGAAAACAAAACCTGAATAATTTAAAAGTCGGAAGACAACTGACGGAGCTGCTCACTGTGCGCTGGAGGGTGGCCACAGCAGTACAGTCACATTCAATTTGAAGTCTGAAGTCTCATTTTACCTTTATAGTTCTTACACAGAATATTCATGTAAAGAATACGAGATTTACTCTGTGGTAACTACTTTAAACTGATTTCTCTTTACTTTTAAGTACGTTGCACATCAACAAACTGCACTGATATTAAACCTGAGAGACATTTCAACAATCAGTAAATCAAAAACATCACCATCACATTTGATATTTTCATTCATACAATGTAACTATGCTTTAAGTAGAAGGAGAAATAAAGATTAGTGAAATGAAACTTACCGGAGCAAATATAACCATACACATTTAAAAACCACAGATCTCAAGTCCCACTCCACAGTGTCGGCAGCTTTTGTCATCTGGGTTGAAACGCCACTGATAAGGACAGGAAAAAAAAGGAGAGTGGCTCTGCCAGTGGAGGGGAGGGCTGACAGGAGATATCCTCCCCAGGGTGGAGTCTGAGATTTTACTGTACCTCTATATTTGTTCATAAGCACTGCAATAAACTGTACTATGATTGAGAGAATGTGAGTGAATAGATGGTTTGTTACTGTTACTGTGTGACCATAAAGACATTGCTTTGAAATGTTTTTTTTTTTTCTAAATAAAGCCCCATCAGAAATATGCCAGAATCAGAATCCAGTTTATTGCCCTGTAGGTTTTCACAAGCAGTTTGCTTGCGTAACATAAACATAAAAATAGAAAATGATTGAACATAAAAGAAAGCATTGCAAAAAGCAAAATACCTTAAAACAGAATTAAAGAAAACTACAATAAAAACATGAGGAATGTGCAATGATGTACGCTACAAAGTATAAAAAGAAAATAACAAGACGACATGTGATGTAAATATCTGCTTCAGCATTTCATCGCCAAAGAGAAAACTGTCCATATTTTGTAGTTTTATTTTTTCTAATTAATCAAAGGATTGGGTGTTACTTCCTTCCTCCTGTTGTTCAGTGGCGCCCCTTGTAATTTTTCATGGGAGTGGCCAGATCGGACCACTGAAAATCTTGGAGTGGCACACCAAAAATAAAAGCCAGAGCTATGTTTCAAGAATTCTGTTGTAGCTGATTGAAAACTATGTCAGTATGCAACATTTCCTCATACAGTGGTTTGTATGATATCTTAAGGAAATGCACGTACAATGGTTTATATGATACCTACTGAATTAGAGTTGCAGAAATGGCATTGTCACCTTTGTCTTTAACTTATATCTTTGTTTATGCTTATCCATTTATTTATTTCTTTTCTTAAAATATAACAGATTTTTTTCTTTGTTCATTTTTGCAGGGTTTTCGGTTTGACAATGTAGAAAATTCAGTTATTATATTCAGAGAGTTTCATGAATTTTCTTTCTTTCTGAATTCATGTATGGTGTCATGCGTGTATGATAACGTGAGGTAATTAATCATATTTATTTGATAAACACTGATTACACCCTACTTCTGTTGCCATGGTAACTGAACTGTATTCCGAACTGTGCAAACCAAGAAAAATATAATATATATTATTTATAGTTTCCCTGCACAAAAAAGAAGTATTACCTTCTTTAAAAGCCTCCATCAGCAGCTTTAAGTTGTTGTTGTTTTTTTTAATATTGGTTCCTTCAACATGAATTAACTTGAGTCTATTTTATGAAATCATGAAGGGAACTTGTAATACTGTAAAACTTGGCTAACTATGTCATTGCTTGAAGACATGCTCCACCTCACACAATATGTACATTTACATTACATCACTAAGAGCCCACAATAAACATGCTTGAGACTTATTTATCATACCAAGGTCTGATGAATAATCAGACTGAAGTGTTTCAAACTTTGCACAGCTTGTGTTGAGATATTATAGTGGTATAGGTATCAAGGATGTTTCAGGATCAGGCAAGTTATAGGGTCCCATAAATTATTGGGCCAGCCCTGCATGAAGTAAAATCAAATGATTTCATATTATACAGATACAATTTTTAACATGATGTCTCTTCTACAAATCAACATGTAACATTGTAGTTGAAATAATAATTAATGGTCACTAACATAAAATAGAATATACTGTAGATTATGTGCTGTCTGCACTGTAATCATTGTGGATACTTTAATTACATTTCCTTTTTTTATTGAGACACTGATGATTGGACCATTTGCATTGTAATAAAAAAGATTCTGCTGACCTCTTTTGGTGACAGATGTGCACTGCAGATTTATTTCTAAGTAAGGATGATTTTAGGTCTGTGCACATCACTGAGTGAATTTAATAATGTACTGCACCACAACCTGGATTTTAGATAAGGAATATATCATGTGATGTCTCAGCCTGGTCTGATTTTGTGCATTGAAGAAATAATTAACGTTCACTCTGTGTTCAGGGATAACAAATATTCAGATTGTTTATTTATTTATTTTGATGGAGGGGCTCTCGAGTAAAAGAAATGTAATTGACAAATATCTCAAAAATTCTAAATTTTAGAGTGATGTCCCACTTACAAAACAGACTATAATATTAAACACCTCAAGCTTAAACATTCCTGGAGCTTGGGTCCTCTACCAGAGTCCTGGAAAATTGAGGGTTCTGCGCAGTATCTTGGCTGTTCCTAGGACCGCACTCTTCTGGACAGAGACCTCAAATGTTGCACCTGAATCTGCTGGAGCCACTCTCCCAGTTTGGAGGTCACAGCCCCGAGTGCTCCAGTTCCCACTGGCACCACTGTTGCCTTTACTCCCCACATCTTTTCTGGCTCCTCTTTCAGCCTTTGGTATTTTTCCAGCTTCTTGTGTTCCTTCTTCCTGATGTTGCTGACACTCGGGATTGCTACATCTATCACCACTGCCTTCTTCTGTTGTTTGTCCATCAACATGATGTCCGGTTGGTTAGCCATCACCAGTTTGTCAGTCTGGATCTGGAAGTCCCTCAGGATCTTAGCTCTGTCATTCTCAGCCACCTTAGGAGGAGTTTTCCATTCTGACCTTGGGACTTCCAGCCCATACTCAGTGCAGATGCTCCTGTACACTACGCCAGCCACTTGGTTAAGGCGTTCCATGTACGCTCTTCCTGCCTGCATCTTACACCCTGCTATTATGTGCTGAATTGTCACAGCAGAGCATCTCTGCACAGCCTACACCTAGAGTCCTGTCTGGTGTGGTAGACCCCTGCTTCCATTGATCTTGTACTAAGTGCCTGTTCCTGTGCTGCCATGATTAGTGCTTCTGTGCTGTCTTTCAGTCCAGCCTTAGGACTTCCTGATTTCAGCCACTTCTTCAATCTGTGGGTAGTACATGCCATGCAGGGGCTTGTCCTTCCATGATGGTTCGACCTCCTCTTCTTCATTCTAGGGTTTTCTGCACCCTGAGGTATTCACTTAGCAGTTCATCTTCGGAGGCCATCTTCCTGACCCTGGATCTTGGTTGTTTCATCCTGGACAGTGGCTCTGACTCTCATCAATCCTCGGCCCACTTCGTTCCGCTTAGTGTACAGTCTCAGGGTGCTGCACTTGTGACGAAATCCTCCATGCATTGTGAGAAGCTTCCTTGTTTTGATATCAGTGGCCTCTATCTCCTCTTTTGGCCAGCTTACCAGCGGGGTATCTGAGGACTGGCAGGGCGTACGTGTCGATGGCTCGGTCTTTGCTCTTTCCGTTCAGCCGACTTTTCAGGACCTGCTTTACTCTGTGTAGGTATTTGGCTGTGGCTGACTTCCTTGCGTACTCCTTATGGTTCCCATTTGCCTGCAGGACCCCAAAGTATTTATAGCTGACCTGAACATCTGCAATGCTGCCTTGTGGTATTTCAAGCTTGAATGTAATACAGCTACAGGGGTAGCAGCCAATTATGGATTTAAAAAAAAAGAATAACAATGACTTAAGAAAATTCACTGAAAAAAAGTGAAGTGACTTTGATCGACTAATTCCCTCGGGCAAGTTTTTGATGTTAATGGCAAAATGACTGATGACATTTTCAGTCAGCCAGTGCCCAAAAGGATCACTGGCTGCTTTTTGGTTCATATGAGGTGAAGGGATTTGAAAGGCAGAAAGATGCCAGACTTAACGTAACGTTTAGTAATCAGTTCTGAAAGTGATAGATACCCAATGCTGGAGAGTAAAGGCAGAAGTCATGTGGAGTATTTTAAAACTCATTTCACACGTCGAAGGCTGACAAGAACATTAGACTGGGGTAAAAATAGAGGTTTATGCAGAGGACAAATGAAGACATGAAAACTCCTCTGTCCATTTTGTCAAAGATAGAAAGGTCGTTTTTTTGCAGTTCTCAGCTGAAAGAAACCAAACTATATTCAGTCCCTTTGCACATATAATCAAACCTAAAGCTAGTTTTAAAATATTTCTATTTTGTATATGCCGTAAGCTACAGTAAATCTGCAGAGTAACTAGTTACTAAAGCTGTAAAATACAGTAGAGTAGAAGTACAAAGTAACATAAAATGGAAATACTCAAGGAAGTTCAAGTGCCTCAAAATTGTACTTAAAGCCACAGTGTGTAGGAATTTCTCCCATCTAACGTTGAAATCATATATTGTATTCAAACAGATGGCACACTCTAGCGCCTCACTGTTTCAAACGCATATTGCAACAGCGGTAGCCGCTGTGTACCAAAAAGCTATGATAACACTGATGAAACCATGTCATCCGATACTACATGGAGTATTCGACGCGAGTTGACAAACCCCCTCCTCACCATGCTGGCTGTGTTTACAACGTAGGACTGTTGGGGTGGATGTAAATTGAAACAAACCAATCACGTCTTGTCCTTTGACAACTGACAAGTGGCTCAACCTCACACACCTCACACACCTCATCTCTCTCCTCGCATTACTGCGCCACTAACAGCTGTTAGTGGCCAGCGGCACTACTGCCGCATAACAAAGTCCCACTCTTTGAGCATAATGCAGGATCATGTATTATGCAGCATCTCGGGAGACGGAATCCTCGTCGCCAAGAAAGTGCAAAAGGGAATCAAAAAGGCAGCGTGACCGGCGAATTAAAAAAACAAGGGTCAGCATTGGGGTTGCCTTTCTCAGGTGGAGAGAGCTGCCGAAGGAGAAAGGTAATATAATCACAGGCCAGCGCTAACAGCGGCTAACAGCGGCACAGTGATGCGAGGAGAGGGATGAGGCTGTTAGCGACTGGCGGCTAACAGCGGCTAACAGCTAACAGCTAACAGCGGCGCAGTGATGCGAGGAGAGGGATGAGGCTGTTAGCGACTGGCCGCTAACAGCGGCTAACAGCCAACAGCGGCGCTGGCCTGTGATTGCATTACAATTCTCCCTCAGCAGCTCTCTCTACCTGGGAAAGGCTACCCCGATGTGGGCCTTAGTTTTTTTAATTCGCCAGTCACGCTGCCTTTTCTATTCTCTTTTGTGCT